TCGACGGGATTGGGGCCGTCCAGAGCACGCCAATCCCCGCGCAACGTCAAGAGGAGATGCGCCAGGGCCATGCCCGGGCTCGACAGGGCCATGCCCAGGCTCGCGAGGGCCATCGCAAGGTGCCCCGCCAGTGCGCTGTGATTTCATATGGAGTTGACGCCAAGCGCAGCGCTCGGCAGACGGATGAATATATACATATCTATACATATATTTATATATAATATCTCTGCCTGCTCTGTATAAACGCCAATGCGGTCGGGAGTTGGGTTTGACTCTGGCCATGCTATCAGACCACGTGTTTCCCGAAGTCTTCGACAACCTTCGGGGAACACATCGAGGAGGGAGAGGAATGCGAGGGGACCTCATGGGGGCCTCTGGGGAAACGCCCCCGTGGCAAAGCGTTGGACCCCATATTGGCCAACCTATCAGGCCGTGCGTTCCCCCAGCCGCCGTGGAAAGTCTCGGGGGAACATGTGGCAGAGGATGATGAGGGGGGATCAGATGACGAGGGAAATGGGGGGAGGAAGAGGAGTAGGAAAAGGAGGAGGAGGAGGAGGAGGAGGAGGAAGAGGCCTCTTGGGAGCCTCTTGGGGAACTCGTGGGGCCTGCAGAGGACATCCTGGGAGCCTTCCTGGCCAGTTGTTCCCCGAATCGTTTTGGAGAGACTTCTGGGATGTTTCCCGAAGTCTTTTCGACAACCTTCGGGGAACACGTCGAGGAGGGAGAGGGGCGCGAGGAGACCTCATGAGGGCCTCTGGGGAAACGTCTCTGTGGCAAAACGTTGGGCCCCAGATTGGCCAACCTATCAGACTGTGTGTTCCCCCAGCCGCTGTGGAAACCTTCGGGGGAACATTTGGCGGAGGATGAGGGGGGGTCAGATGAGGGGGGGAGAGGAGGAGGAGGAGGAGGAGGATGAGGAAGTGGAGCAGGAGGAGAAAAGGCAAAGGAGGAGGAGGACGCCTTTTGGGAACCTCTTGGGGCAGCCTTGGGGCCTCCAGGAAATTTCCTGGGAGCCTCCCTCGCCAGCTGTTCCCCGAATCGTTTTGGAGAGACTTCGGGGAACGCGTGCGGGATCAAAAAGAGGAGGAGAGGGAGGAGCAGGAAAAAACAGGATGCTGATGACGATGAGGACGAGGACGAGGAGGAGGAGGAGGATGAGGAGGAGGAGGAGGAGGAGGAGGTGGTGGTGGAGGAGGAGGAGGGGGAGGAGGCGTCTTGGGCGCCTCTTGGGGCATCTTGGAGCCTCCTGAGAGCTTCCTCAGGGCCTTTTCGAGCTTCTTGGGTGTCTCTTTGGCTGTCTTCGGGCGTTCCTGGCTTGTCTGACGCCGTCGGAGGCCGTCTTGGGGGCCTATCTGGGTCGTCTTGGGGCCCTCTTGGGGCATTTCAGGGCCGTCTTCGAGGCCATCTTGGGCGTCTTCGAGGCGTGGGGCATTCTTGGGACTGCCTTGGGAACGAACTTTTTGCGCCGTCGTGGGGTCATCACGGCGGCCTCGTGGCGATCTTGGGGCAAACTTGAAGGCTGTTTGGGTCGTCTTGGGCCGTCGGAATGCAGAGAAACATCTCATGCCACAGTCCTTCAAAAATCTTAGGAATATCAATGATTTGTGCCTCTTCGGGCCCTCCTGGAGGACCTCTTGGAGGGCTCTTGGCCCGTCTTGGATACCGCTTGAGCGCCTCTTGGGCCGTCTTGGGCCATCTTGACGTCATCCTAGGCCGTATTGGGTGCATCTTGGGCCGTCTTGACGGCATCTTGGGGCCATCGTAGCCGTCTTGGACGCCATCTTGGCAATTTTGGAGGCCTCTTGGGGCCGTCTTGGGGGCGTCTTGGGGGCCTCTTGGGTCGTCGTGAGGCCATCTTGGAGACCTCCTTGGGCGATCGTGGGGCGATCTTGGGCCGTCTTGAGCCGTCGCAATGCCGAGAAGACGCAAATGCCAAAACCCTTCCAAAACATAAGGGCTATCAACGATTTTGGCCTCTTCGGACCCACCTGCAGGACCTCTTGGAGGGCTCTTGGCCCGTCTTGGAAGCCTCTTGGGAGCCTCTTGCGCCGTCTTGGGCCATCTTGAGGCCATCTTAGTGCGTCTTGGCCCATCTTGGAGGCATCTTCAGGCAATCTGAGCAGTCTTGGACGCCATCTTGGCCGTCTTGGAGGCCTGTTCGGGCCCTCTTGGGGCCGTCTTGGGGGCCTTTCTGGCCCTCATGGGGCCATCTTGGAGGCATCGTGGACGATCTTGGAGCGATCTTGAGGGCCTCTTGGGCTGCCTGGGCCGTCGGAATGCCGAGACGAAGCAAATGCCAAGATCCTTCAAAACCCTAAGGAACATCAGCGACTTTGGCCTATTCGGGCCCTCCTGGAGGACCTCTTGGGGGCCTCTTGGCCCGTCTTGGAGGCTTCTTGGGCGAACTTGGGCGTATCTGAGACCCTCTTGTGCCGTCTGGGAGGCCGTCTTGGACCATCTTGGGCGAGCTTGCGGGCCATCTTGGCCGTCTTGGAGGCCATCTTGAGCCGTCTTGGGAATTTGTTGCGGGCGTTGAGGTCGCTTGCGGGCCTGGAGCTCCCTCCCGGGACCCCGGCGGGACGCGCCGGAGCCCCAGGGGGAGTGTTTTTGGAAAGAACCAACACCAAAACCGAAATCATCTAGCCCGCCAGGCACCCCTGTGATGAATCAACAGGGGGCGGCGGACTTCATTACGTCCCTGCCCCCCCCTTTGGCCGCGCACATACCGCCGGCTATGATTTGCGCCCCCCCGCTCTTGGACGCCCCCCCCTTCTGGCCGCGCGCGGAGCGCCAAAAGTTTGTGTTTATGGCGTTTGCTCTTCTTCTGCTGGCACGCCCGTGCTGAAACGCAACACGTGCCGAGCCCCAAGACGTCTGGGTGCAGCAGGCTGCGTGTTGCTCGTCGCGTGCTTTCACCCAGCGCAAGCCGCTACTCGCAGAGGGTGCTTACTCGCAAACGTCAGAAACAAGTATGTGTCTTCCTTTAGGAGGTGGATCGTAAATCACACGCGGCGGATCCAGGCCATGCATTCGGTTTCAATCTACGCGTCGAGCTCCGCGTCAACACGCTTCGTGCTGCGCGTTGCGCACCAGAACAGCTGAGTCGCGCTGACTCCCCACCCTTGTGGTGCAACTTCGGGGGGTCTCGCCTTCCCTGCAAATACCAGTCCTTCTCGAGAGTGCGACGTATGTCCGAGGGGTATCCTTCACATTTTCGACGCGGATTCGATGTGGGTTCGCGTTCTCGTTTTTGTTTGTTGTTGTTTCATATCTTTCAGGAGTATCCATCGGCGCCACCTGGGCGGCGCAAGCGACTCGGGGTGAAGATCCGGCCCCGGGGAAGTGGTCGAAGCCCCCTGGGCCGACGCCACGAGAGAACCGCAACGTCGAAGGTAACGGGCACGGCTGGCTGCGCCCTGGAAGATTGGCCAGAGTGACAGGCAGGAACGATCTTCTGACGAGGCGTCTCGCCCCTGAGGAGCTCATCTGCCCTCCAGCTCTCTTGGAGAGGCCCTCTGACGACGGGGCCGGTCCCTTCAGAGAGGCCCCCTTCCCATACGTCCAACGTGTTGGAGACGCGTACGGGGGTGCAGTGCCTCTCAGGGGCCTCTTGACGGCGGCGAGCCCGGAGGGCAAGCGAGAAGTGGCGGGCCTTCTCAGAAGGCTCGGACGCCCTCCAGCCTTCGAGAAGTTTCGTAAGCCCTCCCCGAAGACGCAGGAAAAACTGCTCCGAAGACGCAAGGGCTTCCGAGAAGCCCCGCCGCCTTGGGGAGGGCCTTCTCTCTTGTTTATTTCCCCCCCTGGATCGCTGCCGATCGGCGCCGTGCCGTGCCGTGCTGGCCCGCGCAAGCCACCATGTGAGGACTCTGTCATCTCGCGGAAGACCTGATGGGCGTGTTTTCTACCACCACCACCACCACCACCACCACCATAAAATGGAGGAGGAAGGAGGAGGAGGAGGACGAGGAGAAGGAGGACGAAGAAGAGGAGGAGGAGGAGGAGGAGGAGGAGGAGGAGGAGGAGGACCCCCTCCCCCTCCAGTTTATGTTGTTGTTGTTGTTGGTGGTGGTGGTGGTGGTGGAAAACAGGCCCATCAAGACCCGCACCTCTCCGTCGCTCGTGTGAGGGTCTCCCGGAAGGCCTCTCGGGGGCTCGTGTGGAGGGCCCTCGGGGGCACCTGGCTGGTGGAGGGGGGGGGGGCCTCTCGGGGGGCTTCCGGGGGCCCCACGAGAGCCACTGGACACTGGACATCTGCGGCTGACTGATCGGACGTCTGCCGCCGCCGGGCCTGCCCTGGCCCACAGCCAGGCCCCCAGACGGACCCTTCCCGGGGCTCTCGGGAGCCCCCATGTTCGGAAGTTGCGCAGTGGAGGGCGACATCGAGAGAAGAAGCACGAGGCCCATGACCAAGACGCCGCGGGATCTTGTCAGTGCCGATCTTGGTCATGGTGCAGGTCGGCCGTCGCCGATTCGCCAGGATTCGCTGACGTCGCGAAGATCAACGGTGACCAAGATGGACACGGCACTTCCGCGTTTAGTCTTGGTTATGGTCCCCGTGTTCTCACCCTCCACGATAGATGTGGGGGTGAAGAGGGGTGGTGGTCCTTCTGTGCACCTTGGGGGTTCTCAAGGGGCCCCCATGGGGCCGAGAAGGGGCACGAAAGGGGCACGTTTCTTCGCCCCCCGTCAAACGGCCCCCACATGAGCGACGATGGAAAACATGTTCGTCATCACCGACATTGGCGCGTAAGCCGCCCGCGCAAGGCCACGCGTCACCTCCCTCGTTTTCCAATGTGGCGTGCCGGGCTGGCGGCCCGCGTAAGCCGCGGCGTAAGGTCGCTGCGTCGTCTCGCGCAAGGCCCCTCTCCTGTTCGTCGCTCACACGGGGGCAGCTTCCAACATGCGGGAGCCCCTCCCGAACGACAGCGAGTCGTCGACGACGGCCAGCGCCGTCCCCCGCCCCGCCACCTCCCCCGTGCGCGCCGCCGCCCCGTCTACAGCGCCTACCGGGCGCCCATGAACGCCGCGGTGGTCGCGGTGCTGCTGGGCGACATGACCCCCGCCAGCCGAGGACCACACAACCCACCCCATCCCCAGCCAGGACCCCTTCTGCCGACCTGGTGCTCCAGGGGCCCTGGCCAGGGGTGAGGCTGGTTTTTCCGGACCTGCCAGGGGCCCTCAAAACCCTCCCCCCACCACCAACAAGGACCTCCAGAATCACCAGGTCGGGAGTGGTCGGACGAGGCTGGGACGAATGCAAGTCCATCCCAGAGCGTTCTGGAACGCTCTCAGAGCGTTCCGGAACGCTCTGAAAAGGCCGCGGCGCCCAAGACTTTTCCTCCAGAGCCGCCAGATCCCAGAGGTTCTCGAATCATCCTTACCCGATTCGATCCTCGTCCTGGCCTCGCCTCAAGGGGGGGTCCTTGCTGGGGGTGGGGTTGCCCTGAGATCCGACGTGGCAAAATGCAGCATCGCAAAAAAAATCACGACCAGAGCCCCAGACCCCATCTTTCTGCGCCAGATGTCGCGCCGGATCGATCTATGAGGGCCACCAGGCGGACAAGCCCGAAAATGCAACGCCCGGATCTCAGGGCCCAGACCCCCGACGTTATGATTTTTCACACCGTCGACCCCGACGGTCTCGTTTGATCGCCCAAGACCGGTCTTTCATCCTGGGCCGTTTCTTGACGGTCTCGAGGCCCAGCCTCCGGCGAGGGCCTCCGGAGGCCAAAGATAGCGAAGAATTTGCGGCCTTTGTTTTTTCCAGCTTCGAGGGGCTCTGGGGGCGGAGTGTGCTGTCCTCATGAGCGCCCTGCCTGTTTGCGTGGCGCTGCTCGCGGGCGCCGGCGCCGCGGGCGCGGCGCTCCCGGCGGGGGAGCGCGGGGGCGGGCCCCCGCCGGCCCAGGCTCGGGCGGGCGGCTGAGGCTCGCGGCGCTCTCGAGCGGGGGCACAGAGTCGCGCGCGGCCCTGGTCGCGGGCGAGGAGGGGGGTCGATGTCGAGGGCCCGAGGCGGTCGATCCAGGTGGTCGTTGGTCGACCCAGACCGCTATACTCTTCCCTCGTTTTCCCCTGTGTGGGCCTCCTCGGAGGCCCTCGTTGCCACCGCTGGATTGGCCTCGACATTCTGGTCAGAACGCACCCCGCGTGAGGTCCAGGGAGTAGGGATATCTTGCCTTTTGGTTCCCCCAGATCGAGGATCCAGGAGGGTTGATCGTCTGTGAGGTGCTGGTTCGTGGAGCCTTTGGCGCCGTGATCGAGTAGTTAGCCGTCCGTTGACTTGTCTCCCTCCTATCTCCCTCCACTCTCCCCTCTTTCTTCGTTGGATCTTGTCGTGCCACCGCCCGTCCGCTCGGTGATCGAGGGCGTGTAGGTTTGCGTGGTGGTTCACGGTGCATCCCATCACGCCTCATTCATGCTTGAACCACACTTGTCGCATGTCCGTCGTCGATTGGCATCGCCGTCGACGATGATCTGGTCGGACGAAAGGGGGGGGCGGGTACGACATCTGTTGTGTGCAGCTAGTTTCGGTCCCTCTAGCGGGCGCTTTCCTCGATACATGCTCGCTCCTGAACCGTCGAAATCAGTTTCATTTAACTGATTCGCAAATCCTTCCTTTACTACCCCCGCCGTTCGACCGACCCGAGTGATGCGTTCCACACAGCGGGGGCGGCAGAGACCCGCCAGATGCCAACTTGATCCCAACTGGTGCGTTCCAGCAAGGTCCTCGCCGTCGGCTCCTATTCGCCCTCCAGAGGCCAGCAGAAGTAGACCAGCGGCGGGTCCGCTGGCGGCGGCGGCTGAAGCAGAAGTGATACGTCCCCTTGTTTGGATGCGGGGTTCCTGAATCGGCCAAGCGGCCACCGAGAGGAAGAGGAGGAGGAGGAGGAGGAGGAGGAGGTTTGGGGGCAGGCGGGGTAGTGAAGGGCGATCGCGCGACGACAAATGCCTGGCTTCACATTTCGCTGATAAATCACAGGCGGATCCGAAGAGAATCTGCAACCCTGGACGCATCCTACGCCGTCTCTATCTCTGGACGCAGGGCGTTGCGTCGGGCCGCGTGACCTTTCCCTTCTTCGAAGGAGCCTCCCAAAACCGAGTCGCATGTGGAGCCTCTCTGCCGACACGGCTTGCGCGTCCAACCAGCCCAGTCCCCGGTCGAGGCGCAGGGGTGTGCGGGAGGGGGAGGCGCGGGCCGACACTCCTTGGGGGCAGTATTGCGTCCCGGATGCACTCTTGATGCTCCCCGGGCCCGATAACAGATCCCAGGACCCAGGAAAGATGCCCCAAGTGCAAAACACGTATCCTGAGAGCTGTGGCTCCCCTCCGACAACAAGAACCCTGGAGGTTGTGGGAGGGTCTGCCAGGCGAACACGCCGCTGCACGACGCCGTCCGCCGCGGGGACCTCGAGGTGGCCGCGCTGCTGCTGAGGCCCGCCCCGCCCGCGCGACCCGCCGACCGCCGCCGCGCCGATGCCCCGCCCCGGTCGCTCACAGCATCGCCTGCAGCACGGCCCGCAATGCTTTTGGCCCCCGGAGGTGGAAAAGGTACCCATACCGCTCCCTTTCCGTCGTTCTCCCCTTATGGGGCTTCTCCGGAGGCCCTCGCCGCCACGCCTGGATTCGCTTCGACATCTTGTTCAGAGCGCATTCTTGGAGAGGTCCAGGAAGTGGCGGTATCGATACCTTCTGGTTTCCCCAGGGGTCTTTTTTCAAAACCGCCCCAGATCCCTTCGAGTCGGGACAACAATCACGACGGACGTTTTTGTTCCCAAATGCTCCTGTGTGTGTGTAGTTCTGTTTTTGCAGAGGGCATTGCGGTCTCCAATCCCTTCGCCTTCCCCCCCCCGTTCGCCTGCCTCCTCCTGGGCTGTTCCCTGGGAGGCTGCGAGGTGCGCAATGTTGCCTCGCTCGTGGGCTCCTGGGGGGAACGGCGGAGGTGAGGGCATCGGGGATCCGTTTGAGACCGCGCGGCTCCCTCGGGTGCTGCTAACCGCGCAACTGTCCAAACTTCCATGAGCTCCTGGGAGGTCCAGCGGAGGGGGGGAGCACGCGCTCCCGTTTGAGAACTCGCTGCTCCCTGGAATGCTGCGAACTGCGCAACAGTCACCACGTTCGCAGGCTCCCGAGGGTCGAGCGGAGTCGGGAGCCAAGCGGATCCAGCCGAGACCTCCCGGCTCCCTGGGAGGCCACGACGTGCGCAATTGTCGCCATTCTCGTGGGCTCCTGGGAGGCGCGGCGGAGATGAGGGCAGCACAGATGGTGCTTTTCTGGCGATGTGCTGTATGGAGCGCTGAGCGTTCATACAAATATTCGCCTCGCGTGGAGAAGGGGTGGGGTACGTCTCGGTGAATTGTTTTCGCTACTTTGGCCTCTGGGAGCCCTCGCCGCCCTGGGACCGCCAAAGGATGACTCGGGATGAAAAGCGGGTCCTGAGAAAAGTGTCCAGTCTTTTTGGTTTCCACGTCGTGAAATAATCAGAATGTCAAGTGTTCGATCATGGACCCCTTGTCAACCGCAGCTATCCAGGCCTCGCGCCGATGACCGCAGGAGGCCGCCAGAAGCCTACGAAGACCGCCGAAGATCGTCAGAGAACCACCGAAGAGCGCCGAAAGCCGTCAAAAGGCCGCCGAAGACCGCCCAGGGCTTGTGGGCAACAAGGGGCTCATCGTCGAACGCATACATCACGTCGGGGGCCTGGGGTCTTAGCATACCCCGCTAATGCCCTGGCTGGGTTGGACCAGCCGGCCAGAAAGTGTTGTGTGCGAGTCGAGACTCTTTCCACCCCGGAGAGGAGGCGGATGGCCAAGATGACGAGGGCTAGGACCGGGAGGGGGTGAACGGATCAGGCGGAGAGGACGAGGACGAAAGCAGCAGTTGTTTCACTCATCCGCGGCATGGCAAGCAGGGGGTCGCAACACAAGGGGTCAGGGGAGGTGGATTATGGACTGGCGTGCTAGAACGATACTTGCTTCAGGCAGCGTCCTCCGAAGATCTCAACGACGAACGCGGCACGACGGTGGGAAGTTCTGGTCGCACGAGCACAACTCTAGGAGGCCAGAATCGCAAGCAAGTATACCTAGGAGCACTTCATGGTTCCCCCGTTGGGATCGGCGTTGCATCCAAACACTGTTGCCGAAAGATGCCAGATTCCAAGCTTCTGCAGTGCGCCTGCACGTTTGGAGGCGAAGCGTCGTGTCGTGCTACGACCAGGGTCAGAGTGTGGCAGCGAAGCGCCCATTATTGGCACAGGGAAAGTGGGGAGTCGACCAGATGCCCGCAAACTGCACCCTCACGCCTTCCCTCCCTCCATCCTCCCCCCTGTCATACTCCCCGACGGCCTTGGGCAGCAGACGCAGGAGTTCCAGGGGCATCCCACAAGGCTCATGAGCCGTTGGACGATGTTCTTACAACAAGAGGTCTTTTCGCTTGCAGATAGTGTATTGAAGTTTCTTGCTGCTTCTCGCTCCTCCACCTCGGACGGGACCCGGGCGAGGATAAATCCGTTCCAGAGCGTTGCGGAACGTTCTCAGAGCGTTCCGGAACGCTCTGCGAAAGCCGCGGCGCCCGAGAGATCCTCCAGAGACGCCGGATCTCAGAGGTTCTCGAGGTATCCTCACCCGATTTTATCCTCATCTTGGCTTCGTCTTAGAATTGTCGTTTCGTGCTCATTCTCGCTCCTCCCTCGTGCCTCTTTCCTCCTCCCTCCCGCCCTCTGCCTGCCTTCCTGCCTCCATGCTCCCTCCCTCCACTCTTCGCTCCCATGTCCTCGCGCTTTGCTCCTTCTCGTGTCCATCTCGTGCCTCTCTCCTCCCTCTTCCCTCCTCCCGCTCCTCTGCCCCCCCCCCTCCTCCCGCTCCTCTGCCCCGTCCCCCGAGGTGTGTATTGGCAAGACCTTGTCTGATGTAGTCCGCTCGATGCGTTTGGGTCCCACGCCTGATATGGATCATTCGTTTGTCGAGGCTTGCGCCTCGCGATCTGGATCCAGGACTGAGGGGGAATAGGGGATGGGGCGCACATTCGGCCAGACCGAATCGAGCCTCTGAGCGCCGATTACTAAAACAGCCGTGGGCGTTTGATAAGCACCTTTTCTCCATGCTCTTCGATTCTTTACCCCGGCGCGGTTGTCAGAAGGCGTCGTTCGCAGGGTTGCTTAGCACGGCGTCGTTTGCAGGGGTGCTTAGCATGGGGGAGGTTCATCCACTCTCTACTCCTGCCTCTTGCCTAGATCTTTGCTTTTACTCTCCCTCCCGCCTTCTGTCTCCAGCATGAGCCCGCCAATCCTCCCTTTACCCGCGACCGACGCTCGATCCTTCCCTGTCTCCCACAACCCTTCCCCGCTCCCTCGCTCGCTGCCCCTCGCTCTCTCCCCTCCCTCTGTTCCCTCGCTCCTTCTGGTCCCTCCGATCATTTCCCTCGTCCTGCCTCTCTCCTAGATTTGAGTCGGGCCTGTCCCTCTACAGGAGGAAATTTCAAAAATAGTAACAAATTGCCTGGGGACTATGGTTTGCATTCCTTAACAATTTTGGAGTCTGTTTTGAGTTTTTTGTCGAAAATCTCCCTGTACGGGGACACGCCCGATTAATCCTAGATCCTAGATCCATCGCGCTCCTCGGGCCGCACACCTTCCACGCTTTTTTGTATGGCTTGCTTGTTGACGCACCTGTGATCTGGGCGCGTCTCCCCTCCCATTGCCTGCGTCTGCGGCCGCCTTCCAATTTTTTCCCGCTGGGCAGGCGGACAAACAACTGGCCCGCGGCCCGTTCTGGTGGGAATGCGTTGTGCCCCACATCGCTGCAACAAACAGTCGCATCTTGTTTGCATCTGGGGTGTGGGGCGCTAGAACTCCTTGCATGCATTATGCCCTGTGCTTCTTGTTGCGGGCTCTGGGTCCAGACACGGGCGTCCGCAGGACCACGATCAGCAAACACATGCCGCCTCAGCTTGTCAGGAAGCCTGGGGAGCATTTTCCTTGGAGGGGTGAGTGAGCGAGGAAGTGGGACGAGGCGGGAGGACGGGCCATCCTCCTGCTCCTATTTTCCTTCCGTTTCTTCCCTCCTGAGCGCACGGCTGTTGCTTGGGTTGTTTCGGCTTGGCGTGATCCGCTGGCCCCCTTAACGTCTGCTGTTCTTTCTCCTCCTCCTCGTCCTCCTCGTCCTCCTCCTCTTCCTCCAGCGTTTCATGTCCTGGGCCATATCGCACTCGGGGCTCCTCGGTGTTCCGCTGCATTGTGCGGGGTGGTCGCGCTTCATCCTGAGCGCGTGCCCTGAATGAGCCTCTGGATTAGCAGAACAGTCCCCCTCCTCCCTCCCTGCCCCTCCTCCCCCCTCCGTTCTTCCGTTGCCGCCCCCGCGCCTCTTCGAGGTCGGGGAGATGGCGGCTGCGCACCGCCGCCGCCGCCCATGTCCCTCCTCGTCCTCCATCCCAGTGGTCGCCCGCACGCGGCCGGCCGGGGTCGGCCCCTCTCCCCACGCGGTCCTTGTCCGCGCTGCCCACTCGGTCGCGGGGCGGCTTCGAGGGCCAAGCTGCGCTGCTGCCCGTGCGCATCGTGGCCGTCGCCCCCGGCGCCATGGCCGGGTCTGCCGAGGCATGGGCCGCGCCTCAGCCGATCCTGTCAGGCGGGCGCTCTCTGCCGCAGTCTGTCTGGTCTCGGCACGCCGCGCGGCGCCGTGGCGGGGGCAGTGCGCCAGAAGGGGGACAGTTGCCGCTGCCGCTGCTCGTGTTGGAGAGCCCTCCTCGCCACGGCTGCATTCTCTTCGAGATCCTGGTCGGAGGGCGCCTTGGGAGAGGGCCTGGGAGCAGCAAGGTCGGCCCCTCCCCGGTCCCCTAGCGGGAGGATGGTGCTTGGGATGTCCAGGGGGATCTGAGGCCCCAGAGACGCACCATCGGGGGCGGGCCCATGAGATCCCGCCACGCTGCCAGGCTGTGATTCTAAATCTCAGATGCGCTGCCGTGCAGAATATATCCGCCACATCGCAAGAAGGGGAGTGGCAGAGGAGGCGGCGCAGGGCGATCCACGGGCGCTGTTGTAACGAAGCGGGGACTCCGCCCATTGGCATGCGCAGAACCCCACAATTGCGGATAACAGTGAGGGGGTGGGCGCGGGGTGGGCCGCAGGTGGGTCGCGGGTGGGTCGCGCGGTGGGTCGCGCGGTGGGTCGCGGGCACGGGTGGAACGCGGGCGGGTCGCGGGCGAGGACGGCGACAACGCAACAACACATCAAGCAGAACCCGCCTGACGGAACGCGACATCTGCCACGCACCCCGGACAATCAATCACCGTTCGGCCCCCTCACATTGATCTAGCGGCCTTCGGCCCTTCGGCCCATCCCTCCACCGTGCCTGGGTTGTAGGTCGGAGGCCTCTTGAGTGCCTGTGGGGACCTCTTGGGGGTCATCTCGGAAGTCTCTTGGCGGCTGTTTGGGGGTGCCCTGGGGGCTTATCGGAGGTCTCTTGGGGGCCTCTTGGGCCTCGACTTGGGCCTTTGGGGAGCCTGGGCCCCTTCACTATAATATGTGTGAATTTATTTGTGTGTCCCTGGGCCCCTTCACTATGATTTCAACAGGCCCACAGCACCGCCTGGCATCCATACGCGCGCGATGCTTCGAAGGCGCGGTGGCCGCCGATGGGAAGCGCGCGCCGACGCGTCGGGCTGCGCGATGACGTCTCCCCCAGGCCCGAAGGTCAGAGGAGGAAAAGGTCCCATGCCTCTACCCTCCCCTCGTTTCCCCCTTTTTGGGCCTCCTGAGCGGCTCTCGTCGCCACCGCTGGATTTGCCTCGAAATCCTGGTCAGAACGCACCCGATGAGAGGTCCTTGGAGTAGCGGCATCGGTACTTTTTAGTTTCCCCAAGAAACATCCGGAAGAAGAGCTTGACAGATCGATTCAGCAGCAGCCCCCCCCGCCCGCCTCCATCCAACGTTGGCCCAGGGAAGGGCCGCTGCCACGCTGGGCGCTTCGATGCAGCGTTGCATGGGCGAGGGAGGGGGAGCCGTCGCGAGAAGCTGACCCCAAGACCACGCAAGGCCTACAAGAACCCGAAGCGTTCCCTTAAGCCCGTGGCCACGCTCGTCAAGTCTCTTTCATCAGGAGAGTGGTAGGGGAGGTGCAGGAGGGGCTCCAGGCTCCTCGTTCGTCGGAGGCTGGCAAAGCCACGGGTAGCTCCTCCGGCGTGCACAGCTTGTCTCCAGCGTTCTGCTCTTTGAGTCAAAGGGGGCGTCCGTTACTCTTCACATTACGTTGTTTCGGATTTCTCAGGGAGGGCATGCGTGACTTCGGATGAGGAGGCTCTAGTTCTTACAGACGCTCCACTGTTCCCACGTTATCCGCGTACAAAACCATGCTGTCTCATCTCGACCTCCTGAGCGTGTTCAGAAGTCCCATGTTGGTGATGGCGAACGCATGTTGATGAGGTGGGACCGTATTGATGGCTCAGTGCACGGGATCGATTGTGCGCGATTCGGGGCGCTCACCACAGCCCAGGTCCGCGGTTACCCCGCAAGCGCTCCGAACCCGAAACCTAGGGTCGTGGGGCTCGTGGGTGGCCCAGTCATTCGCCATGGCAAGTGGATCCCAGTCGAGTTTCGGATCTTCGGTCTGGACCAGTCTGTTCCTCCACACCCACTTTTGAGTTGACAGTGTGAGGTACTCTTTGTCCAGCTTTGCTGGGCGGTGCGCTACCCGTTTGCTGTGATGTGCGTCTCAGGAGGATGGCGAGGAGGAGGAGAAGGAGAAGGAGAAGGAGAAGGAGGAGGAGGAGGAGGAGGAGGAGGAGGAGGAAGAGCGGGATGGGAGGAGGGGGAGGAGAAGGATGGGAGGGGGAGGTGGAGCGCAGGAGCCCCTCAACCCATCTGCGGAGCAGGGCGAAGGGGGACGATGAGGGCGCACCGAGAGAGAAAGAGAGAGAGAAAACGAACAAAAACACGTGAGGGATAGAGAGAGAGAGAGAGAAAAAAAAAAAAAGAGACAGAAAGAGCGAGGGCAAGAGAGCGAGGGCACGAGAGAGAGAGAGAGCGATAGTGAGAGAGAGAGAGAGAGCGAGAGATCGCACCGTTTCGGCGGAGTGACCGTCCGGGCGCGCAGGATTCTCGCTCCCGCCGCGCCCGCCTCTTGTGGCGGGAGATGCCGCTTGTGAGAAGAGGGGACGGTAGACTACCCTCCCACCTTGCGCGGTCTGTGGGGACCACGACAGGAAAACAATAAAACGGGATGTGGTGAGCAGGGCGAGACTCCCCCCCTGCACGCCTGCGGACAGAGCGGCACCGGCTTTACACACGCTGTGGCATGCGTGAGTTGGCGCCCGCGGCAGTAGAGGCGCCACCTTGGGGCAACCCCCGCGGCGGCCCAGTGATAGCGCCACGGAAATGTTCCCAGCAGTTCACGCAACGCACGTAGAGAATTGATTGGTAAACGCTGGTGTTTAACCGGGGAGCATTGAAATGCGCCTGGGGCTTGCCTGGGGAGAGGCCCCGAACCGGCGATTGGGCCTGATGAGCGCCGTCTAGGTGGTCTGTGCTGTTTGGGGTCTGTCGAGGCGGAGTCCTGGCTGTTCCGGCGCTACGCAGTTTATGACCAAGTCTGATAGCACTTTGTTGCAGCGTCATGGTGCTGGTTTTGAAGGCAATTTCTCGGTCGGGGTCACCCGAATGACTGGCGGCCGTGCGGCGTTGCGGGGCGCGACTCCGCACGGGTGGCCTGTATTGGCGTCAGTCGGACACCTTCACCCTGGGAGGTGTTGCCAAGGCTGTGAGGCCGTGGTGCCTTCACCCTGGTCTCGTCACCTTCAGATCGGTTGCGTTGACGTCCTGGGTGGGCAGTTGCAGTGATCAGCGCATCGGCTTTTGGCGCCGGCACTTGCCCACCCGAGGGCCCTGTCCGCGACTCGTCGCCAACCCCTAGCGTGTCCTCACCACGGTCGCAGGCTCCTGGAGCGGGGGCCAGGTGGTCGCCCACCTGCAGAGGCGCAGCCGCCTGGTGCCTTCTAGGGGCGGGGAGGGCCGAGGAGGGACGGTGAGCAGAGCGGATGAGCTACGTTCGGAGTGGTCGGACCCCTTTGTAGCCCCGGGGCGGGTTCCTGGTGGCGTCCCGCGTCCCCGGGGCATCGCGTGCCGGCCCGTCGTTGTCCCGCCGTCGTGGCGCGCGTCGTGCAATGCAGGCGCGCTGCTCGACGAGCCTGGCCTTCCCGCGCTGACCTTCGTGGTGCGCCGCGTGTTCGCGGTGACGTTGCCGTAGCTCTTCGGTGGCGGCCGGGCGACCAGGGCGGTGTCCTGGTGGCCACCCGCCTCCAGAGGCGTCATCGCTTGGTGCCTTCCCGCACGCGGGGAGTGCGTGGGCGGGACAGTAGGGGCTGAGCTATTGTTCCGCGTGGTCGAGCCCCCATGGACCAGGCGTGGTAGGCGGCCTGGCACCTGGGGCGGGGGTGCTGGTGCCCCCCCGCCTCCAGAGGCGTTCCGTGCCGTCCCGTCGCACTTCCAGCGTCGTGGTGCACAGCCTGCTGTCCCGTCGCGCTGCCCAGCGTCCCGTCCCGTGGTGTGGAGAGCTTGGTGCGTGAGTGCGTCGCGGTGTACGCCGTGATGCCGCCCGTGCATCGCGGGAGGTTGCGTTGCCGTGCAGGCCCCACCTCCACTCCTCCATTTAGCCCCGGGGGGCCGCCGCGAGGAGCTCAGCTGTCCTCCGCACGGCGTGGGACCGCAAGGTCGCGGACATCGCCTGCGGGGGGGGGGTTGAGCCAAGGGGTCGCGGTGCCCCAGGGGGCCCCATCCCCTCCCGCCCTGGCAGGGGTTCCGCTAGGGGCACCGCGCGGCTGCCCTCCCTCCCCCCCCCTTGCCGCCGCCTGGGCGAGCCTGAGAGACCTGTCCCAGGCGTGGCGTGACCAGAACCACCAAGGAGGGAACGAAACGACACGTGATCACGGTGCAGCTCCCGGTGCTGGCAAGAGGCGTGGTGTACGTAGCATTGTTCGTCTCTTTCTCTCTCTCTCTCTCTCTTCTCTCGCGGGTGTGAGGCGGCTAGTGATTGATCTTGCCGTTCAGCTCAACGTTATCGCGCTAACTTCCATCGTGCTGCTGGTAGACGGCAAGGCGCCTGGGGCGAGGTCCTGGTGGCCAGCGTCATAGCCTTGTACCGTTTCGGACGCGGGGTGGTCGAGGTAGATTCGGGCAGGCGCTGGGAGAAGGCGCTCGTCCGGGCGCCTGTCCAGGCGGCTGCTGTTCCATGCGCTGCTCGTCCAACTCGATATGAGGCTGCTGATGCTGGATCTCGTGGCATTGCACGTCGGGGTGGTGTTCGGCTCCGTCGTGCGCCACGGTGTAAGGAGCTGGTCGCGAAGGCTGGTGGGCATGCTGTTCAAAGCAGAGCTCATCGCAGTCATTAGTGTCAGGCTGCTGGTGCCCATTTCCGCGAGCCCTGATGGGCTGGCCATGGACCTCCTTGTGCTTTTCGTCAGACTCCTGAAAGTGAGGGTGTTGGTGCAGGCCCCCGTAGAATTGTTCGACGCTTCGGTGCTCCACTCCTTTGCGCCGCTCAGAGCCGAGCTGCTGGTGGCAAACGTGCTGTTGGAAGATGTGGTGATGCCGGGTCCCGTCATTCTTCCTGATATCGTGGTACTCGACCCCGTCGCA